AAAACAAACAAACAAACTTATCGAAACAACTTATCTTAGGCTTAAGAAAGAATTTGGGTAGAAAATGAGGAGAATAAAGATGCTGATTGTAATCTTATCGAAACAACTTATCTTAGGCTTAAGAAAGAATTTGGGTAGAAAATGAGGAGAATAAAGATGCTGATTGTAATTTTATCGAAACAACTCACCTTAAGCCTAAACGAGAATTTAGGTATAAAATGAAGAGGAACTACGTAATACCTATGTACTTTTCTTTTGAACAACGAAATCTGTTAGAACCTGTTTTTATTATTATTATTATTATTTACAGCGGTTAAACAATAATAAAATAATTATGCAGTAAAAGAAAAGAAGTTATGATTATATTAATTTGGCATCATAAGACTAGATGAAACAAGAGTATGAAAAATGAGTGATAATATGTAATCTGTGAAAGATCTGAGCGTGAAACAATAAACCAGGGTCAAATCCAGAGTTGCCAGGTGTCTTTCTGAACATCTTTCTACTGGCAGCAGACTCCCATGAGCATGCTCAGTAATTGAATTCACAAGAACATAAAACAAATGCGTATTTTACTTCTATACTTGTAGGTTAGAAACGTGTCTGGTTTTCCTGGCATTAATATATAATTTAATAAATGACTAATTTAATGTAAATAGTTTAAAGTGTAGATTTTATCTGCTACGCATCACAAGAATGATCCTACAGCGTATATATATCAAAAGCAATTTTTTCACATCTTTCCTGGGATAATGGCGGGGGTGGAGTAGAAACTATGTGGAAAGACGTATGATTGGTTGTCAATCTGTCAATCACCGTCCTAGAGAAGGAAGTGTGAACTGTGATGGGAGTAAACAGAATAATATAATAGACACCAGGGGCGGTAACTAGATCTTTAATTTGAACAGGGTCGTTAAGAGCGCTCGGGGGCGAATCCCCAAACAAGGGCCTAGGGACAGAACTACAGGTAGGGACAACCAGTTTGGACATTACTTAGGCCTATTACTTCGTAGGTTGTAGTATGCGAAAATAGTGGTTAGTTTGTTTGTTTGAAATTAAGCACAAAGCTACACAATGGGCTATCTGGGCTCTGCCCACCACGGGTATCGAAACCCGGTTTCTAGCGTTGCAAGTCCACATACATTCCGCTGTGCCACTGGGGTGCACGCGAACATAGTGGACAGTAATTAAAATCCAAATAATGAGAAGTCATGGACAAAGGTGACGCTCTGTATCCGCTTTTAGCCAAACATTTTAACTGGGTAAGGCTAGAAAAGCTGTGTATAGACTTAAATTTAAAACAATAAGTTATTTCTAAACACAATTAGACAAATATATTTCGTCTGTACAATAGTTTGAATAAAACTGACAAATTATAAACGTTTTCTTTCATCTAAACGTTTAATATTTGTTTTAGGTTTATAATGTAGTAAAGAAAAAAAACCAACAATACACTACAGCTAACACCTGACACACTACGGAAGACATGTACTTTTTTTTTTTGGCCAGGTGCTAAGAATTACACCTGCATTTGGAACCTCTCCAAATGTGGCAGCAAGACTCAAGTTTACTGAAAACACAATTATTTTGTGATAGAAAATTGTAGGAAAAAATAGAAGAGTTTAAGAAATAAAGTTTTCGCTGTAAATTGAGCTCATTGTAATTCTTTTACAAATTCATGGCTATGCTGCTGCCTACAAACACACAAACTATAAAAATATTCACCTTCATTTACTTTTATTCCTTTTGTAAAAAAAATAAAAAAAATGTTAGTTTAAGATTCCACCTATTCTGTTTGTTTAAATTTATGCACAAAGCTACACAATGGGCTATCTGTGCTCTGCCCACCACGGGTCTCTAGCGTTGTAAGTCCGCAGACATACCGCTGTGCCACTGGGGGCGGGGGGCAAATGCCACCGAAAAGAAAGTGAATAATCATACAGTGCGCGTGACATTAAGTAATATCGTAATTAGTGTAGTATAAGACTGTTATTCAAAACATGAAATTTCTTGAACATTTCAACGTGATACCTGTAAAACGACAAAGCCTATTAACACTAAATCCACATATTTTCAACTACGACCCTCCCTCACTCCCCCCCCCCCTAGTGAAACTCGTTTTTTTGTTGTTTTTTGCTTCATTTACATTAGTCTCTAAACGTAAATTTTCAGTATTTATTCCTTTTTTTGATATTTTTGAAAGGTTCAAAATTGGTGATGGGAAAGTTTTGTTCCCTTAAAGTTTTCTAACAACCGTTTGTCTGTCTCTACTCCATAGAAAACAACTTGGGATTTTTATTATTTTTAAGTCCCCCAGTGGCACAGCGGTATCTCTGCGGACTTTCGACGCTAGAAACCGGGTTTCAATACCACTGATGGGCAGACCACAGATAGCCCATTGTGTAGCTTTGTGCTTAACTACAAACAAACAATTTGTTTAGCATTTTACAAGTTATAAAAATTGCAGGACACTTCCACTCTCACTAGTCTAGAGAAATCTGGTTGATTATTTTACATAGGATTTATTTCTAGCTACAAACCTAAAACACAAAGCAATTACAAAGCTTTCTTCACTAGAATGAAAATATATTAACGTGATAATTATTTCTGGCTACAAACCTAAAAGAGAAAACAATTACAAACACTTTTCAAAAAAAAATATAGGTATGTTCTTACGAAACAAAGTTTGGAAACATCTTTTAAAAACATTGATAATTTTGTAATTCTTACCGGAACATTCATTTTGTTGTTGTTGTTGTTTAAAGTTTTGAATAAGGACAAGTTTTTGAAAATATTGACAGAGTTGACATGACAGATAGCTGTGGGCAGAAACGGGGCCCTGAACTGCTTGTTCTGCCACTGGCTGTGGATCAAATGAAATGAATCGTGCAAGCAAAACGTTATCTGAACAATGCAGCTTTAAATAAGTTGTCAAACTCAACACAGTTCTAGGATAATTGTTAGAATGATAGTCAAATCCAACTATTCAATTTGAGTGGCCCACGAGTTGGCGGTGGCTGCTGTTGACAACCTGCTCCTTCATAGTCTATCAGTTCAAAATCAGGAATGGCAATGAGGAGATAGCCCTTGTGTAGCTTTGTGTGATTTTCCAAATCAAACAAACAGTGTGTTTCAATCAAGAACCTCCAGAAAGAGTGGAAAATTAATTGACCTTGATTATTTGGTGCACGCTCCAAAGAAAATACGCTTTTTTAAGGTTAAACTGACATTGAGGTATCGTTACAAATTATCAAAATTATTGATATTCTGTAATTGGGTTCTATCGGTAATTTTAAGGTTAAACTGACATTGAGGTATCGTTACAAATTATCAAAATTATTGATATTCTGTAATTGGGTTCTATCGGTAATTTTAAGGTTAAACTGACATTGAGGTATCGTTACAAATTATCAAAATTATTGATATTCTGTAATTGGGTTATATCGGTAATTTTAAGGTTAAACTGACATTGAGGTATCGTTACAAATTATCAA